TATAAAATAACAATTCATGTATTTTGTTACGATCTAAATTCTTTAGCTTTTTTGCGATCGTTGTGTTGAGAAAACGGCTTTCTTTGCAAGATTACCAGGATTGCTTTAATATATCCGATGGATCTGATGGATTCTTAGATCCATCAATGGTGAACATGCCGCCTTTTGATCTTCTTACCCAAACACAGATCATTAGCTGTCCATACTGAGACAAAGTTTTGGATAGGTGGGAAGGAAAGGAGGATAATGCAAGTATTAAGCTGGCATAGAGTCCGCTACAGGAAAAGGGGTAAGAGAACCATTTGCGAGGATATAGGTAGGTAAGTCGGGGCTTAGCCTGGTGACACAGTAAGCGGAACCGTGGCATGAAGCTTACCGGGGACTCTCCCGTAGTTGTTATAATGGGATCCGGCTAAATGCAAGCCGATTTTAACTCTTCGCTGCTACACTCGGCCAAGTTCAAGGCCATTGTCTTCGCCGCAAGAATGAAACGTCGTCGGCCAGCGGCCCTTGCGAAGCGCGGCATCACAATTCACAGCGAGAATCGACGACACCCCCGTTGCGCGAAGTGTTACACCTTTTCTTTTCTCCTGGAATTCCTTTGTTTCCGATCACCGTATCTTTCTTTACGAATACGATCTCGATCTGACCTGAGAATTGAGATTCAGCGAAAAACTTTTTAACATGTGTTCGACATACGCAGCTTTGTCGACTCGTTTTATATTTTCTTTCCTTCATGCTTCACTATATTTTCGAAACTTTTAAACAAGCATCATTAGAACAGCTAATTTATGTCCATTTTCACCAATGTAGATTAATTTTAATTTCGGTTCAATTTACTCTTCATCATTTTCTAGTTATAAAAATTAGAAAAAGAGGAAGAGTAAATTGAACCGAGATAAAAGTTAATCTAAATTGGTGGAAACCAGCATTAATCCTCCGAAGCTGATGTCAAAATCTATAACACAGTTACTGACGCTGTTCTCAGATTCGTTTAATTTATATTGATTAAAAAGCACTAATTAATTTGAAGGAACCAAAATGACATAACTAGTATAAAAAAGAATAAATATTAAGTATATTTTAATAATAATAATAATTCAAATTTGCAGATGTAATGTAAAGAATATAATTGAATGGGTCCAATAGATCCACCATCAGTTGCGAAGGATTAATTGTTAATTTCTCTTGCCTCTGAGAATTAATAAAAGTTTTTATATGATTACTTTTGTGAAATTATTGTTCACTGTTATGATGTAAGATACGATTTAACTATTGCGTCAAGGCATGCTCTGGAGTGTTTTTCATGAGATAGATATCCTCTTTAAAGAGAAAGTCGCGGAGGATTTGCGCCTCGATTATGCGAAAGGGTCATCAAAGCGTGCATGGGCAACGAGCGATTCGTTATAGCTCGTTAATTTGATGAGTTAGAAAGGATGCCGGATTACGTCGTCAAAAGGTAGACAGGTACGCGATCTGTCCAATTAGTTGGACATATAGGGGCGGCTCTCGCTCTCCTTCATGCTTGCATGGGGTCCTTTGTGTTGTGATGTTTAGACCATTAGAAATACGCTACTGATAGACACACCCTTTTATCATTGTTCGGTACGTGAACGTATTCACCACAGAATCCATAACACCTGTGATTTTCTAATGGACCGAGAGAAGAGATGAGTTTAGCAATTAATGATTATGATCGATGTACTTCCCTCCTTCTTGTTTGCAAGATCACGTGCTGAAGAGCTCGTTATCTTTCTATCGGCTAATTATTAATACTTACATTTTTTATGTGTATATGTAAATAATTAAATTAAGTGCATGACAGCGTTATATTATACATTTTAGATTTAGAGATGTCATATATAGCTGGATTGTAGATCTTTTAATTTCAGAAATTAAGTGGATAAGAGAAAATTTTTTAATTGCTTTTATCTGTTCTGCAATGCATCCGCGCACATATTTTGCATGGCAGAAAAATTAGACACCAGGGAGTGCGTATGGCGACGATGTTGCATCGCGATTACCTTGCGCAACCGCGAGTTTGTAATTAATATAGGCTTAATGGTTCAAGATCGATACATATGCAACCGTTCAAATAACGAAGTGCGGTCGCTTTGACGTTAATTAATTTCAAGTGCATTAGCAGAATTGCAGCCCGCGGCGGTAGGGTCTTGCGAACATCAGTGTGATTAATAAGAACTGGGTTCGCGATCTATAAAGCTGCGAGGCCAAAATGGAAAGAGGGATTGCATATCGCGTGCTGGGAACTCTGTCACAGATATACAATTCAAAATGTAATCCGCACGTCAAGCCGCATATGCGAGAAGCGATAGAATTTCGATTTACTAAAACAAACGGGCAGTACTCTCGATAGATATCTGTCGGAAATACTAGGAAGATTAAAGATCGGGGAAAGTAATTGACACCACTTATTAATAATATGCGATATTTTTTTTTCTGATGTAGGAAGATCCCTTCGCACATGATAGAACAATCATGTATCTTACAAGAGATATACGTTTTATGTACATTTGCATCGTATTATTACAAAGTAGCTTAGATCTACGCGTGTCCATAATTATGATTTTATCGCCTTCCTATCATTAATCTTAATGATATTTTTTTTTATTCTTTAATTATACATCGTCTAACGTAATGTTACAGGATAATATACATTAGATAGTATACACGAAATATACACTCACAATTAAGTAGGCATTCTCGCATATACTACTGTCTTTTATCAGAAAACACATTATGATAATTAAGTTATCGCGCGAAAAAGTGCAATGCGAACTTTTATAAAGTTTAAGTCCCTCGAACAGACGAAGAGTACCATAGAAAGAAACGACTATATAACAAGATTCTGTGGGACGAGAACTTCATTATTATTATTATTCTCTCTCTCTCTCTCTCTCTCTCGCTCGCTCTCTCGCTCGCTCGCTCGCTCGCTCGCTCGCTCTCTCCCTCCCTTTTCCTTCTTTTTCTAATATATAGAAATATCCTCGATATCTCGTGATAGAACTCTGAATGAGTTTTTATATCTTTTCTTTCTCATATTTACGCGCGATCATATATTCATTATTAACTATTTACAAGAGTTTCTTGGCTACTATGGCCGTATTTGATATGGATAATTATCTATGTTAATCGTAATAATAAGGATAATACCAATGATAAAGACGGCAGTGATGAGTACTCGTCTTTTAATCTTAAAAATGCAAAGAATATCATAGATTAGATCTTAAAATAAATTCCGATGTGTGACGTGTACAAGCTTTGTATGGAAAGTTTGATGACAATTTCCATGAATACAGCCTTTTATTTTTATTTACAAGGATAAGCTTGCTATCTTGTTCCTTCTACTCTCTCTCGGAAATAAAATTCGACTTTCCCATGGACTGACATCGTTTATCAAGTTGCACATTCGTAATTCACATTTATTGCTAAATCCGCTTATCTTCATTCAAATATATGTATAAAATATTTGCACTCAAAGTATGTCTTATTTAAGTAAAATTCAAATTCAGACAATCTAGAGTTCAGCGTTAAATATGAGCTACGAGTGTGAATTTTATTTTCGACGGAATTGTGGCAAAAATATGAAAAGAGGAACAATAATTTTCGCCATTGAAGATATGCAATTTGGTAAAAATTGCCTTTCGGTAAATGTGAATTAGGATTTTGGATTGTCTGTACTCGACTTAGGATCGATTCCTAAGATTAACAAATGTTGTTTTATTGTTGGTGATATTAATTCAAAACAATAAACTTTCATGACATTGTTCAGTAATGACAGTGAAGTATTACGTTAAAAATATTTGTAAAGACTGATTGTTGCATAATATTTTTGATGTCTCAAAAATATATTTTACACATATTGTCCGTTGTAACGCTGATTTTAAAAGGCTAAAAAGTACGAGATAAAAATAATTTTAGCTGTCTCGTAATGAAAAATTGCAGAAAGAAGAGAAACGGAAAAATGAACACTGTTGTGCCGGGCTAAATAACTGAATATTTGCATGTTGATATAATTAATATCCATATTTTGTGACCTATAAATATTACACAAAAAAATTAAAAAATACATTTAACATATCAACATGATGATACGGAATATTTTCTGGAATAAAATTAAAATTGTGGTTAAAGAGAAAATTTCACATTTTGCTCTTCCAAAATAAGTTTATATAATAATTTGTAAGTGAATTCATGAATGAAAAGATAACGTTTTCTTTATTAATAAATTCACAAAATAACAATAACAATTAATTAGTTAAATAATATTTTGTAAAATTTTCCTTTTTGTCTGCACAATGATGTTGATGAACGAAATTACATACTCGAAATTAAATACCGTGTATCTTGTTGAATTACTAAATTTTCTATTTCACTATAATCTTTATGTGTAGAACAATATATGAAAGTCGCTCGCCTAGAAAAATACTATTGCAGAAATTAATTTATGTAAAAAGAACATAATATATAATTTTATTTAAAAAATTTCGCTTTGCTATAGATAAAAGAGATATTGCCCGCACAAATACTGTGAGATTCATCCTGTATATTTTTATAGTTTGCTTCTCAACTTTATTCGCATGTGCGTTGTCTGAGAAGATTCTTTGAAACAATTATAAAATGATACCAAATTAAAATTAGATCACCTTGAACATTATTGTTTCTTTAAGTTTAGTGAAATACGTACGCGATTGTTGCGATATTAGTTAATATCTGTCGTCACAGTCCATTCCGGATGCAGAAAGTTTGTGTAACTAATTCGCGCAATGATTCGAATTATCATACCCATCAAGTCTGGAGCATATCTACTGTTGCTTTGGCGAAGTCCCTCTCCTGTGCGATCAATTGTCGTCGGAATCCAGATTACCGTTGATCTCGTGACAAATCGCCGTGTTCAGTCGCCAATGATAGGGCATCGAGGTGCCGGCCGTGCTCGCGGTTTCCTGACCCCGCTGAAAGATCCCGGAGGACCTGCTGGACCGCTATACTCCAGCCGCTATATCGTTGCTAGTAGCTTGCGTCTGACTAGTCACTGGATTCAGGTGATGACTAGTCAGATGTGACATGGACGGGGTGAGCGTCATGTTAGGATGATATTGCGGATGATGGTAGTTAGTCTGCGGGCTATGGTGCATGTGGGGGATCTGAGCCTGATAATAGTCGCCACCGTATACGCTCGAGGTTTGAGCGTAAGCGTTGTAACCTTGACCGGCGTATTGGCTGTGATTTACAGAAGCGGACCCCGCCGAGCTCCAGCCGAAGCTGTAAGTCTCGCCATGATGAATTTGATTCATCGCACTTGGATAGGACGATGGCTGCAGTTGGTTGGAGCTCGGTGTCAGCGGCGGCGACGGGGTCGTCAGATTGCTGTTGGCCCCGCTGCCACCGGTTGGCGTCGTTCCAACATTCCGAGGATACGTCGATTGGGTTGACAGAAGCGGGGTCGATAGAGGTGAGTTTCCTGCTACTGGTGCGTCCCTACCTTGCACCGGTGAATCTGGGGAAGATCGCCTACTAGGCGTCGTCGACGAGCTCGTCGATATCCTGCTTCCGGTGCTGCTGTTGCTGTGATTCTGATTTGATCTGGGCGAACCCTTCGACGGAGGGGTCTGCTGTTGCTGTTGCTGCTGCTGTTGCTGTTGTTGATGTTGTTGTAATTGCTGTCTGCACTTGGCTCGGCGATTCTTGAACCAAACCTGGAATAGAAGAACCGCAAGATGCTATGAGATTATCAACAGATCCATGAATACAATTCTCAGCGATTTTTAAGATATCTTTATGATATTTTATTATTTTATGGATATCCAAAAACATTGTGGTTTAGAAATCAATTAAACTCCCTGATAAGTATCATACGATGTCGGCACACATTTCAACAAGGTACAAAGTCTCCAATAGAAGCAGCAGCCCCAGGGATTGTCGGAGAGGAAAGATGTCCCAGTGTCCCGCTACGAGAGACGAGACCGACCGAATGGGGAGTTAATCGGTGCAATGGGAAAGTAATCGCGGGCGAGCGGGCGTAACATTTCATTAAATCGCAACAATAACAAGGACCCGAAGGGAGGAGCGCGTGTACGAGCGCGACGTCCCGTCACGCGTGTATTGGAGCATCCCCTGGGATTCTCGGTGGCCACGGTGTTCGCCGGAACGCATGCGCGAATCAGAGCTCGTCGTAGGGTTGTTTTCACCCCTGAGATCGAATAGTTGGTTTTGCTTGTATGTGCGCGAGTAGAGAGTGTTCGTATATATATCTTGTGCGTGAATACACGCAGGACAACGCGCGCACACGTATAGACTTTTCGTCCATACTTACACGTTACGGTTACAAACGGGACACGCATATACATATACGCATGACTATCCGAAAGATGCGCACATCTACGTAGGTTTTTCTCTCCGGAAAAGGGACGACAGAGAGGCCGGGAAGGGGGGACAAAAAGCAACCCCTCGTAGGCCGCAAGCTCGCGAATGCGTTGTGATTTGCCCCTTCTTCCCTTCGCCTTCTTCGTCCCCCGTAATACTCCCCCTCACATAACCCCCTATAATCCCGCCGGGGCACAATGTGGCCAGGGGTGCGATCCTATGAATCTATGCCCGCGCCTTTAAAAGCAGGACCCGTCGTCGTTGTTGTTATTATCGGCGGCATTGTAACAGTTGTTACAGAGAACGCGAATCGCTGAAGCGTATGAGGTATGAGGGATTTCGAGCTGCACGACCGTGCATATTCGCCGATCGAGACAGAAGCCACGCGCAATCCTTTCGTCTTTTATCTTGAAACGTGTCGAAATAATAAACGGAAACTTTAATCGCTCACCGAGCCATCTCATATACTGTTTATATTAGAAAAATATTCTGGCAACAATGGATTATTGAGATATTAGTATGGAAATATATTCAAAACAAAAAAAATATATATATATTCGCGAAAGACTTATATTTTTTGCTAAACATACATATTTAAAAAAATATATATATATAAAACACACTCACATATATATATGAATATATGTATATATAAGAAATATTATCCTTCCGTATAAAGAATTACTGCAATTTCTGTAAATATTATTTATTTAATTCTGGAAGTCTAATTACTTTTTACGTGTCACATTTAATCCAAAACAATTAGAATAAAATTTCGTATTTTTAATTTTTTCAATATGCCAAAATCGGAAAGTACTATACGTGAACCAATTCTGAGACTATAATTGCTCGTCCCCAAGTTGTTCTCCTATTTGTTTGGCTTCTACTTCGCCGTGACGGCAGATCCTCATTTCGCAAAAGTCATCTTCCGCGTCGCGCAATAGGGTGCTGAAATCTGTTAGGCGCGATATTCGCGGATATTGCGTATCAACGCGGACGAAACGAGTCCCCGAGAGGGCGAGAAAGACGAATCTATGTCGCGGTTGGCGCGACAGACAGAGAACGATCCCATTATAGCAGCATGTTTGCACAACGACACCCCCTTCAGAAGCGGTGAGTGAGGAGAGAGAGAGAGAGAGAGAG